GAGGCAGAGGTTGCTGAGCCCCAGGCATGGGCACCCAGAGCCACAGTGCACCTCGGGGCACGGCAGGAAAAGCTGCTGGAGAGCGCGCGGGCACCCAGCACAGGGTGCCTCACGGACTCTCTCCCCACCCACGCACGCGGTGAAGGAGAGGGGCACCTTGGCACGGAACAGCCCTGGGGAGCCCTGGAGGGGCACACCAGGCACCCCAAGCAGGTTTCCACAGCGGCTTTCTAACAAGAATGCAGGGTGCCCCACGAGCAGCACCCGTGCCAACAGGCCCACAGCAGCAGAGCAGGAGCTTTAGCATGTCAGCATCTGGGCACAGGAAACGGCAAGTTTTGTACCAGAGGGCTGAGAACAAAGGACATTTATTGACAAAACTCAGTGCTTGCTCCCCAAACAAGCAGGCCTGACAATAGCACCATCTTGCAGCTCTCCACCTGGGGTTCCAGCGGGCATCCCTTGAGCTGCAGGTTGAGCGCCGTGGATGCGGGCGTCCCTCGCTGGCAGGACCTGGTCCCACCAAGCAGAGCTCCCCAGGAACCAACCGATCCACGGCTGGGCGGCACGGGGCGGACAAGCGCTGCAAGCCCACCCAGAAGCAATGCTGCCAGCTGGGGAGGGGACCAAGGCCAGGGCTGGCACTGACGGATGTGAACAAGCAGCAGATCCGAGCCAAGGAGTTTTATTCTGCTCCGGAACGTTTACATTCAAACATCAGCTTGGTTCCACTCATGGCTTCCAGGATCGAAACGAAGGGAGCAAGGAAGTGACTGGCACCAACTTCCACAGCTCCCAACCTGCTAGCAGGGCTAGAACAACCAAAAATATTAAAATAAACAGAAACAGCAACTGTTGCTGGCATGCCGTGGGCACAACGAGAGTCCAGCAGGCCCCTGATCCTTGTCCCCCAGCCATGTTGCTCAAGTACGTCAGAGAAAGGCTCGCGTGGAGCCAAGGCAGGAGAAGGCTTGGCCACCCAAACGCTACTTCACATGGAATGAAGTACAGTGCGCCCACGTTCCAAATTCCTCCTTTTTGTATCGTTAGCTCTGTAAAAACATACATCAGCTACGGATTTATGGCTATTTACAGGTTCTCCATGGCCCCCCCACCCCACGGGGGTCTTGCACTCACAAACACGCTCCCTATTTTTGAACGGCCTGTGTGTGGCGAGTCACACCGGTGCAGCCGAGACCAG